CTCGAACTGATGATGGGCTACAATGGTGTCAAATCTTTAACGGGCCGAATTGGCACATCTCGCATGGGCCGTGGGCTTAAATGGACCTGACACAAGTAGGCCTTATATGGGCCGGCCTGCTAATTTTTACTGGGCCAGCCTTTTTCACCGAAATGGGCCACTGTTGGGCCGTGCCACGTGTCGACCTATCATAGGCGCCTCCTGTCCAATGAGTTGATGACATCTGTCCCAATGATGAGCCGACACGTGTTTCCTCTAGCCAATGATGATTTTACACGTGAAAAATCCCCATTGGTCGGTGCTCTTAACGGGTTATCGGATCCAAAACCCGATCGATAGCTTAACGACGTTTCGTTATGGTGGATGCCACGTGTCGGTCACCCTTGACAAAAGCACTTCTGTGACGCGTGATTTATCGTCATGGAAGTGGACACTTCCGTGATGATAATTTTGATAATGTCATAGAACACTTCTACGACAGCACAGGTATGACTATCTTGATTCTGTCATAAATTTGTCATGGATGTACATGCATGACAAAAAAAGCGACCTACTGTGACAAACACGTATCATCACGGAAGTGTATTTTTTTGTAGTGCTAATTGTGATATATTTTGACATCTTATTTTGCATTAAGTTGTGGTAAACTCTTCTGACATGACCAGGAAATCTGAAGTTTGCACAAATCAGTTGCTGATGGAATTGATGCAAGAGATGGTTTTCCACATCATCTCGCTCCTGCTTTCCCTGCCAACCACGTTGTCATGTTATTCAGGTTGGACTTAAATAGCTCGGCCTATCTACCAATTAGCACATCTCTCAAAAGTTTGCAAAAATTAGTTGTTGATGGAATCAAAGCAAGAAATGGTTTTCCACATCATCTCAATTTAAGCAGCATTTAAAAGTTACTTGTTTTTTCTTTCTTGTCATCTTCAGTTCACCTCTGACATTGATATGCATTCAAACTCCAATTAGATGTTAATGCACAATTATTCCTTTTCTAACAAACTTATTTTCATTGTCCATGAAACTTGAGAAAATCACTCGCAAGTTTTTGAGGGAATTCTGGTATTGACAAGAAATATAGAACTGTGCAATTCACAAGTGAGGTAGCATCGATTTCTCCCTGAAAAACTTGTGCCCACAATAGCAATAAATATGCTCTTTTGCACTTCTCATAAATTAGTGTCAATGCATATTTGCCTGTTTAATCAACTAGGATTGAGTGGTCTTTGTGCTAATGCTTATCTGTTATGAAGAAAATTGTTGGGATTTTTTCTTGCATCTGTAAGGTTCTAAAAACTGCAGTATCACTCGATATACTTAGGCTTGTTTTTTATTTTTCTGGGAAACCTGAGGAACACCTGGACATTTCCCACAAGTCTTAGTTCGGTTCAAATATGGAGAAGATTTCAGCCTACCTAGATTTTGATATTGTTATGTTAATCTCGTACATGAACTTCTATCAATTTCAGATTAAGGACACACCCTTCAGAAATTATTCAGACTGCCATATCTACAGTTGATGTCATGAATTCCATAGCTCATGTTCAGAAGATCGATCCCTCTGTGCTCTGTTGCAGGTCTTCGACACATTGAAATAGCTTGCTCAGATTTGCCATCATGCTGGCCTGATAGAACGTAAAGAGAAGACTGATATTATCTTGAAAACAGTCTGTCGTACATTCATTTTCTAATTATAGGTTATGCACCCAAATGCTGAAAAAGAGATGATGTACTAATATGTGGTACTTCTGCGAAAAAGTTTATTCAGTACGCGAGCCAAATATTAGGTACCTTGGCCTGGTAAGGTATATTTTTTTAAGACAATTAAGTCGTATTGGAAGATGGAATGAGAAGATTAATTCTTTGAATATGTGATTGCAATCGAATGCAGCCAGGTCACAAGCACACAAACTTGGTTAGTTTGGCCTCTTTACATATGTCATTATTCACAATCTCAATGCAGCCAGGTCACATGGGCCAGGTCTGCGTTGACCTATGTCTCTTTGCTATGCTGATGTCTCTCCAGAAAATCATCATCATTAGGCCAGTCACACAGTGAGGTACAAAATGACGTCTACCACATCACTACGCCATGGCTCTCTGGAAATCATCTCTGCGACATTGCCTCTCTCCAAGTGTCCAGGTAAGTCGACCAATTCCATACCTCGTTTTTTATTGTCGAAATCTAACAAACCTTAAATTTCACCCACTGTTCATTTAATAGAACATACGGCTTTGCCCGCAAGAAACATGAATTTGTTTGCCTCACTAAACTGGTTACCTCTCTATTCGGTCTGAGTATGGATCAGTGGTTCAGAACAATATAAGGGAGCTGAAGACAAAAATTGCATGGAGTAATGTTTTTGAACAATAAATAAAATTTAACATAATCTCCTAGAAACGAATCAATTTGGGAAAGCACAATAAAGCCCTCAGAAGATGTTTTAACTACACTCAAACTAAATATGTAGCCTTTGCATGCACAATATGAGTGAACTATGTAGCGCTAACAAGAGAGGTTAATTTTTCTGTTTATATATGCGAACTATGTATGGGTTTCTGCAGTTTTCATTAAAAGAATCCTTTCGACAACACATGTCAAAGCATCTTATGGAAGGACAGAATTGGTTAAAGCACATGCCCAAGCTGTCAAACTATCTATCAGAAGTGAGCATTCAGATGTTCAATTGATACTCATACATGGAGGGACAGAAGTGGCTAAACCGCAGAAATGTTAGATCTAATGGAGAGCGGCGTTTTGGTGCCTCCTTTTGTTCGTAATATATATTTCAATATTGCACATTTGACAAATAAGATATATAAGTAAGTATTGATCATTCATTGGTTCCGAACTAAAACAATTAACTGATTTAGTGAGTAGCAAAATTGTGTTAGGAAAGAACTGCACAAATGAATTCCAAGCACTCCCCTAATATATATCATAAGGTTTGTTGGGAGGTTAATTTGTAACCATGTAATATTTTAAAAAATTCAGGTTGGGAGCTTAATTTGTAATATATAATATGTACTCCCTCTGTAAAGAAATATAAGAGCTTTTAGATCACTACATGTTCTAAAGGTCTTATATTTGTTTATATAGGGAGTAACAATTAGCATTTTGTTAAGTTCTGTTGCAAGATATCTTTCCAAGTAGATCTACTGATAAGTACTCCCTCTATAAGCAAATTTGTTTACATGGAAAATATCATATATCATGCAGTCCATGTTATTTGATATTGTTGCCACAGATCTTTATTTCAATCTACGCACACACAACTTTCTGTTTAAAATAAGCAAAATTTTGGTTTCTGCCAAAATAATTAGACAAAACAAGATACCAATTATAGGCACCATATTGATGTCCGTGACATGTTGATCCACAAAATTAATTAGCTCAGAGTTATCTCTGTCATGCGATGGTGAAGTTAGAAAACTCACTACACAACATTCGGGGACAGTGGGACAGAAATATAACCTAGGGAGCTAATTGAGATGAGGACAACCGGGTTGGCAGCAGCAACAGACGAGTAGGGTGGGTGGCATTAGAAGGGGCGAACTTGAGTGTCTGTGGTGTCAATCCTTCAGTGGTCACCGCACTCAGAGAAGGTGGTGGTGCTATGGTGAGTAGCAGGTCGCATCGCCGTGGCGTTCCTACCGGCGCGATGGTGTGCACTCCTTGGCACTAGGAATCGGTTGGGTCGACCTCGTCATGGAGATTGACGGCGTGACTTCGCGACTATGCTTGCGCAGCTCATCTGGGGTAGAAGACAGGGCTCGACGACGAGTGTGTCATCCCTCCTTGCCACGCCCCAAAACTGTGTCCTAGGTCTTCCAACCCACATAAGAATGAGTCGGCAACGTGGCCGACACTAATGGAGAGCTAATATCCCTACTGCACCTCCCGGTTAAATCTCGTTGCCCTTGATGCCAGACCGGCGGATGGGTGGGCTCAGTGTCGAGGCGACAACATGAGAGGTTGTCGGGGAGAAAGGGAGGCGGGAAGAAGAGGGGGTGGGTGACGCCATGGAGGGGAGGAGAGGCAGCAGGGAGAGGAGAGTGTGAGCTTCGCCTTGGCGTGGAGCGGAGGTGTTGGGGGAGAGATGGAGGCGACAACGCTATGGTGGGGAGATGAGATGTGGCAGCGCCCGGTGGCTGGTTGGCTGTGTGAGGAGAGCAAGAGGCGGTTGTGGGGTGAGTGAGTGAGAGGTGTGAACTTTTTTCCTTAAAGAAAAGGATAAATGAGCAGTTGCTATGGGGTGACATAAGTGCCTCGTAGCCTAGCCTACAATTAGAGAGAAGACCATTCAAGTGACCTATAGGTAGCCTACAATTTATTGCTTACGAATATATCGGGATGCGAATCACATGGTATTATGCAAATGAAGCTAAAGACAACATTCCTCACATTATTGTATGCAAGTAAATCTTAGTTTATAATAGAAAAACAACTGATGATTGCTCTCTATGTACACATCGTTCAGTTAGATTTTTATGAACTTACATCGCAAGTGAAGTGGACTTCAATTGCCTTTGATTGCTATGGATTATCACTTCTATACATGTATTATGCTTATATATGTAACCGGAAAAAAATCTACGGCCCGTGACAACGCATGGGCATTCTACTAGTTTACAATGTTCTCCGGACCAGAACCAAGCCAAACCACAGTTTTAGTACAAGGTGCACTGATTATGTCTTAGTGTTACCTCTGAATGTTACGAGATCCTTTATTTTCTCCGCATTACGAGATCCCGAAATTATGATGGGATAACAATTAAACTAAAAAACGTGTGAATAGGAGAAAAATTCTTGTACTCAGACAAAGTCTTATCTTTTTTATTCACAGACTTTCAAGATGCTCATGGCATGTCGAGCCACTCACTTTTTTTTTTACAAAAGACAACACCGTTTAAAGAAACTTCTTTTGTCCGAAATGTGTATGAGACTATGAGTACGAAACAGAGGTGTGCAGATAAGAAAATAGAAATGCAAATCAGAAGGCGAGTCCAGATCCCTTGAGCCTGTCTTTGGTGATCTGATCCATGTTTTCCCCCATCTCTCGGCTCATGTGGTTCGCCCAGTCCCCAACTTGTCCTTTTCTAAAGAAGGCTGAATTAGCAGGAAACCTGTGATCTCCGTGATCATTGACAACACTTACCTGGTTAACCTGTAGGCTCGTCAGTGTCTCAAAGCTGCAGAGCCTCGCCACCTCTTCCGGGACACCAGAGCTTTCCTCCTCCTGGCTGAAAGGGACACGGAGGAACGCTGCAAGCTTTTGCACGACTCTCACAGAGTCTTCCTTGATCTCTTCGTACTTCAAGAAAAGAACCTTGTCCGGCGTAGCCAAGCTTGCCTTCCAGTACTCCAGGTAGTGCTCCCAGAAAGGCCCGTAAGGCGAGAGCCCCCGGCAGAACAAGTCGTAGGCTTTGTCCAGCTCCATGGTGGAACCGTGGAAGATCTTGTTGTCGAAGTGCCACCGAGACACGAACGTGTCCTTGGGGTCTCGGCAGAGGTACACGACGCGACGGCTGCTGGATGGGCTCATCTCCGGCGGGAGCAGCGACATGGGAATGTGCGTGGAGAGAAGGCGAGGAGAGGCAAGTGCATTGAGGTCGGTATGGTCCCCGCCCGGGCCGTGGAACTCGATGCTCAGCACGAGCTGGTGAGGGTGGTGGGTGAGGAGGGGGTGGTCGCCGAAGCCGTAGCGGCCTCGGTTGGTGATGGCGAAGGCGAGGGCCTTGAGCCAGGTGGTGCCGCTTTTGGGCTGTGTGGCGAGGATGATGTCGTCGTCCCGGGGCTTCATGGTGGCCTGGGCCAGCAGGATCCGCTCCAGCACCGTGTGGACCTCAGCCAGTAGTTCTTGTACAGAACGAGCGGCCCCGAGCACCAGTCATCACTACTTGTTGGGAGCGTGGATATCAAATCTTTGGGGCTTATTGATTTGGATGGTGCAGCGCTCATGGTAGCACCGTCTTCTACCTTGGAAGGAGCCTGAGCCATGTCCCCCTTCTTGCTGTACGGTGAGGCAGTGGAGGTGCCATATTATAGGGACAAGGCGTGGTATATACTACATTGCATTATTTTCTTTTCATTTTCTTTCTAAATTGCAGTTAGTGGCAACTGGATACCTAACTCGCATTAGATGGTTTTGTTATGAGCAGCGGGTACAACCACTGAAACTCCTCTGACCGCCAGGTACAGCAAGGCAATCGATGCGTATGATCGAGCTGCCCTATTTTACGAGGAAAAGGCGTGTTAGTGCACTTTTCTTTTTCCAAATTATATAGTACTACTAGTCGTCAGCGGCAACCGGGTAACCTTTTTTCTTAAAAAGCAATCATGGCTAGTTTTGTTAAAATTAAATAATTGTACATTGTCTCCGAGCTTGCTGATCAAGATGTCAGGCGACGCGTTCATCCAAACAAGAGAAAGTTCAATATAAATACTATGATTACTTAGCTCATATGCCGCTTGATTAGATGGCCGATAACAATGTTTAAAGATGATCTTTCCTTTTGACATAGCTGTGTCTACACACTCCATGAAATAGCTGGCGTCACATCCCACCAACCATCTAGACAGTCCGGTGCAAAAGTTGATCGCTTGCATAGAATCAGACTCGGCTTCTAGAGTCTAGACCATTGAACTCTAGAGAATTGGCCAAGTCAAGTCATCTCTCATGGCCATAGCTTCATTTGTAACCACATGAGCAGCAAAAGATATATACTTGCATTGAGCAGCTATAAAGTTATCATTGTCACCTCTCAGGACAGTTGTTATTCCTTCGTTCTCATAGAATGTTGCATCCGCATTTACCTTAACGAATTTTGGGTCCCGTTTACACTATTTTTGCTCCTGAGCCACACTAGCAACCGGCAACCTAACCAACGTATTTGATGGGAGTCTTTCTTTTCCTTGGTCACATGTGGGCACAAGGTACAACCATCACCTAAATTAGCCAAATCATCTGGTAGCCACCGGGGCACTGTATCAGCCCCCCTCTCATCTTTTGCTCACCATACAAAGGCTGTCGCTTCATCATTGGTAACATAAAATTCCTGCAGAACAGGTAAAAAGGGCAGAAGCACGGCAGCCGACGAGCCCTGCTAGGATTGCATGCATGCAACACTATGTTAGTTGTGGCACAACTAGAATTTTGGGGATTTGTGGCCGATGTCTAGTGGCGCACCTGGCCCTAACCCAATCTGCACACTCCCCTCTCCTTGCTGGGCGTCGAATCACTCACGCAGGCTCGCCCCTTCCCCCTCATCGCAGGCTCCTCTGTGGGCTACTGGGCGCACGCCGCGTGATGACCTGCTATGGGCGCCGGCTGCAAACTATCAATGGCAACATGCTCTCTGGTGGCAAAATGGACTAAAACTAACCTCGAGGTGCAACTATTTCACAAACTAAACCATGGACGATTTTTTTTACCTAGCTAACCCTTTTGTGTAGCGCCAGACAGATCAGTGCTACACTACACTGAGTAGCACCTGACTGACAGGCGCTACACTCTGTCCAGTGTGGCACCCCAAGGTAAGACCAGGCCCCACCCCTAATTTTGCAGTGCCTAGGCGAAAGGAGCTGCACTACCTTGTGCAGCGCTTAGGTGAAAAGAGCTGCACAATCAGCGCAATTTGTATGGAAATATGTGATGGTTGTTTGGCATTTTGCTAGGGTTGGGCTTTTTAGTATGTTTGGGTTAGGGTTAGGGTTGTTAGTATATGTTAGGGTTATGGTTATTGTTCGCTATCTATGTTAGGGCTATGATTTTTGGGTTAATATTCGGATGAGTACTTATGGAATATATTTTTGGTTGTGTTGTTTTCATTATTTTAGTGATGAGAAGAACACCATCATGCGTCTGTTACTTCCGGCTAATGATGAAGCCATGGTTTTCTTGAATCCTTTGACACTAGACAACGTGAAATATAGAAGGGTAGATGAGATCATGAAAAATATGGACCATTTTCTACACATCCAGAATGGAGCCATTTTGTTAAATCCCTCGTTTGATATTCATGAGAGAGGCGGTCCGGACTTCGGACATTCATGAGAGAACTCCGGTAACTCTTCAATATGAGGGGGGACGTCGATCAACCCCCTCTCGCCCGACCAAACCCTAGAAGCGTCGAGGCCACCCCAAACCCTAGAAGCGTTGTCGAGGCCACCCCAAACCGTAGAAGCATCGAGCTAGCTAGGTCTATGTTTGCCACTAATATATCCATCTCTCATGTTTGTATATTAATTGCCATGTTGTAATATTTGCATAAACTATGGAGCACAGAGACTTGGAAACAGAATAGTTGTTGGGGGACATAATCCTCGGCGGAGGTGATATCTTGACGTATCTCAACGACGCCGATGGTCTGGAAGGAGAGGGTGAAGCAGGCTCTGGTGATCGAACAATGGGGGAGGAAGGACATGATCATGATGGCTCCAGTGATTGAATGCCGGTGGAAGAAGGAGACCTTGATGGCGGCTCCGGTGACCGAACGGAGGAGGGAGGTGTTGCAAAGTCCGGCGAGGTATACATATTAATTAAGCATGTGTTGACTAGCTAATTGATGCATTAATTGTTTTGGTATGTACACATATTGACCCTTCTTTCTTCTTTTCTAGCCCTTCGGATCGAGCCAAACTTCGGTAACGAGATGAGGCCCGAAGAAAAGGTTGCGCCAGGATGAAAGGTTCACAATCACAGGAATCGCGGACGATGGCCAACCGATTGAACCCAGGCGGACCAAGGAAGCATTTTCTGCTCAGTGCGGGGTTCTTGTTAGGGACATGATCCCGATCAACATCCACCAATGGAATAAGCCTAAGAACGAAGACCCTGAAGTTTCTTATGTCAACGATAGATAGAATGATGATCTTTGGACCTCGCTGAAGGCAAATTTCACCCTACCGCCAGAGGAGGATTCGGATAAGCCAGTTATAGAGCCATTGGTGAAGGCTCATGCTCTTAAGAAGATGGCAGGTCTATTCAGGAGGTGGAATAATGAGTTGAAATCATGGTATGTCGACAAAGGGAAGACTCCAGAATTCACCGGCCGATTTGAGAAGATAAGAGATCACTGGCCCGCATTTGTGTCCTACAAGACATCGGAGAAGAATAAGAAGATGTCACAGACAAACAAGATAAATGCTGCAAAGAAGGAGTATCACCATCGCACGGGGTCAGGTGGCTACCTCAAAGCCCGGCTGTTGTAGGACAAGGCTAAGAATGACCTGCTTGCTAAAGGGGTCGAACCAGAGACATTCAACTGGGCAGACCGTTCAAGGACTTGGTTCTTCGGGGTTGGGGGAACCTTGGACCCTGAAACAGGGAAGTGCGTTTGGATGGACGAGCAACTTGAAATACCCGTCAAGAAGCTTCAGAAGTATATCGCCACAGCGCAACAAGAGACGTTCGTTCCCGACAAAGAGAACGATAAGCTCACCGAGGCCCTCGGGAATCCTGAGCACCCTGGACAAACACGAGGCACGCCAGGCTCTATTGCGTGGAAGGTTGGGTTTCCCGGTGCAGGTGGTTACAAAACCCGGGAGAGGAAGAGGAAACTGGAGCAGAGTGAACTGCAGAAACTGAATGCAGGGGTACTAAAGCTAGAGGTACAAGTTGAGAGCCAGCGACCTGCCAGAGCTACCCCAGAAGCTACCCCGCCATCTCAGCGGAGAAACAACGTGGCTTCCACCGAGCCCGTTCAGTAGCCTGACTTCACGGCTCCTAGCTACCCCGTGGACGCAATGGCAGAACCTCAAAGTCAAGGCACATATCGGCTCTATTGCACCTCCTGAACCCGAGGCAACTTTTCACTGCCGTCCGATTCCACAAGGTTGTGCTGTTGTATGGTGGATGAACTAACGGAGGGATTTGAGGAGCTCGAGCTTGACCACCCTAGAGGTGAAGGGGAGACTCAGCTGGGTCTTGTTCTGAAAACTCCATGTCTATGGCGGAAGGAGCACATCAAGCTTCCGAACTGGACGCCTCCGCCTCCTCCTCCTTCTCCTCCGGCGAGTCGGGGCACTCCGCCTCCTCCTCCTCCTCCTCCTCCTCCGGCGAGTGATCAGGGCACTCCGTCTGCTTCTTCGGCTTCTCCGGTGCGTGAGGGCGGCACTCCGCCTCCTTCTCCGCCGCGTCCGAGCAGCCCGTCTCCTCCTCCGCCTCGTCAGCAATGGTGGAAGACAAAAGTCGTCGCTCCGGCTGCTCCGGCGCGTCGGAGCACTCTGCCTCCTTCTGCTACTCGTCAGCAGCAACGAAAGAGAGATGCCGCCGCTCCGGCGTCTAGCAGTACAGCCAGAGGCGGGAGGCAATACAGATTTGGTCCATCTCTCAAGCCTGTAGAGAAGTTACCATACGAGATGACCGTGGAGAAAAACGTGAAGATCTGTAAAGCCCAAGTGAAGGACTTCTTTGAAACGCGAAGAGCTATGAAACATCCACCTCTGAAGGAGAAAATAGACCCGGTGAAAGTGAAGCGCACTATCAATACCCTGAAGCGACCACCACCACCTCCGCCGGATGACAACCATGTCCGCTTTCTTAAAAAGACACTGCAAGATGCGCGCCGGTTAGGAACTACTTCAAGTGACAAAAGGTTAGCAGAACGAAGAAGTGGGAAAAAAATCCCCATCTCGGAGAACATGAGAACCAATCATGCCCCCCGCTCAAGGTATCTAGCGATATCGTCGCAAATCTACCACATATGCTGCCCGGTACCAATCCTGGTGATTACCTGCCCGACGATGTACATTTTGACACAATGGAGGTGTACTGTATCTACCAGTACAGGAAGCCTCTCG